GCCTTAATCTAGCTGATGAAAATTTATGTGTAGAGTACAATAAGTCAAACATTACTAATTTGGCTGTTCAAGACAAGTTGGAAAAGGATAAGCAGATTGTAAAGAATCTCAGCTGCTCAAGACATTAGCTGTGAAATAATTGTCATACTCCAAATCATTAGATCCCCAGGTAAGTCTCACAGCTTACAATGGCAAAATTCTGGTTTTGATATCTGTGTTGGGCAGAGCACAGATAGCCCATTGTATGGCTTTATGCTTAATAACAAATAAACAACCCAAATCACTATGACTGTAGTTCAAACTGGTTGCTAATTAGGATGGTGCAGATCATGGTTTGCCTTTGACATCATCAACAATTCAGACACTTGGCATTCAAGAAGCTAAACATAGGCTACCATCTAATGGCAGTAATATGAAACTAGTTAGCCAACTGACACTTAACAGTATCACAAATGAGGATCTGGGCTGTTTCCTGAAGCATTTCTGGCAAATTCCGGAACATATTTCAATATCTGATTCTAAACGTGGACAGTCTAGCACTCAATTTCCATATAATATTTAGGTGACATACAACTTATTGACTGGGATACAGTTATTGCCAATTTGACATCAAGCATTACCAACAGGCTGAATCCAAAGCTTCACCTTAGCCACTTATGCAGATTTTCTGAAATAACCTCATGGGAATGCTTATCCTATTATGACATTTGCAGATTGTAATGAGATTCATACAGACAAGCTCAATGATGGGCTTCTCAGAGAACCCATATATTACCACATGGGTGTGAAGAACAACTTGTCCTTGACAGAATCCATTTCCATGGTTCAAGGTGATCACAAGTACCACAGAGTATTGTACTGCAACCACACTGATTATCAATGGGTAGTAAAAAGTATTAGTGTCTTTTTACCATAACATATGATGGTAGGAATATCAGTGAGAAGTAAGGCAGTTGTTGATTTGATTTCTTTAAATTAGGAAACCTGAAATGGTTCTGGCCACCAATTTTGGCATGTTAAACACCTTGATTGCTTTCAAAATTGTGATAGCCAGTGTAAGGTATCTAGAAAAACATGACTCCATCTTACTATCTGAACTATACCTCGATTATTGAAGTTGTGTCTGACATTGGTATCTTAGAGATAGACCTGTTACAAAAGTTATAAGCCAACATAGCCAGTGCTATAGATGAGCTGAGTAAAGCTAGCTAGTGCTGACCAATCAGAGCCCAGAAACAGTGGTCTTATATGCCACAATGTTTGCAGAAATAGTGGTTAATACCTGCATTCCCTTCTGTACTGCTTTAATTACTAATTATTGTTATTGATATACACAACAAGGTTTGTTAAAGTTTAAAGTTTTTTTTTTTAATATTTGAAGTCTCACTTCCACAATAACTTGTTTGTAGAAAGTTCTAGGCCTCAGTTGGGCAGCATATATATGTATGTATATATATATACACACATGTGTGTGTGTATATATATATATATATACACATGCAACCAAGTTAGTGCAAGTATGTACCAAATAAGTTGATGAAAGTAAATGTGAAGCTAGACTGCATGTGAGTTTCACAGCTTGTATTGTGATAACATAGATTGAAGAGAATAATTTGTCCTGTCAGAGGGTGTTGTAAAGTAATTGAACCTGCCTGTGTAGACTTTGACCAAAAGGAGCCAATTATTTAAAGCTCTGAATACAACTGTGATAACCAATAGTGTAACGAATTTGTGTACATATATTTGACTTGTTTTGAAGATATTACTTTAAAGCAAGTGGATTGTGTGCTGTCTGTTTATTATTGAAATTTATCACTAACAAGTCACAGACACCTACTGTAAAGAATCTGGTCCTATAAAAACCTGACACTTAATGGTAGTAAAGAATGTTTCATTTATTTTTTTAGCTGAAATATTCATATATATGTGTAGTTTTTTCACTAATTGTGACAAAGGTTTCTGTTTAACCAAAACCATATCAGAAACATGGTGTACTCATTATTTTACAATGCTTTTGAATTTGAATGTGTGTCAATTGTAGAACAGAGCTGTTTCAAAGCTTTGTGGTTACTAATTATTATTTTTTCCAACAAAAACGATTGTACCAGTCTCTTTCTTTTGAGTTGCATTTAATTTGTATTGCACTCGCTATGTACAGATTCTTCAAATCCCCAGTTATTGTGTTTTTCTGACTTGTCGGTTGGTTTTAAATGTACCTTAGAATACCACAGTGTTAACACATATGTAGTCTTGTAGTTTTAATCGTACCAAGATTTAAAATAGACAAGGGTAAGAAAGTGAAGGTAGTACAACAGATCTGTCTTGTAATTGCTGGTTTAATTTTTAGTAGATTTCAAGAACTTTTTATCGTGTGTCAAACACGTTAACTGTGTGGAATCATTTCCTCATCTCCAGGAAACTCGCAAGTTTTGTAGCACTTGTTGTTTGTGTCACGCATAATAATACTCTAACTTGTATCAGTACATAACGAGAGTTCGATGACGCATTATGTGACACAACTTTTACTCTTGTGCAAAGCTCTGATCACTACTATGCTGCTCCACCCTGATGATTTGCGATAAATTTTTCGGACTTTCAATGCTAAAATCCGAAGTTCGATTCCCCGCTGTGGAAAGAATGCAGATAGCTCATTAGCTCTTCAGTGGCTCAACGAAAAATCTGAGAATTTATAACGCTAAAAATCGGCTTTTGATACCTGTGTGGGCAGAGCACAGATAGTCCATTTCGTAGCTCTCCGCTTACCAACAAACAAACAGACTGATACACCTAGCGGTACTGTGACTGAATGCGGGAAGAAACTAGGTTAGCAACTTATCAAACAAGTTACGAAGACTGCCTTTAGACCAACCTCGCGTATAGGCGTTCAGCATTGTATCTTTCTTTATTATATCATTCTCAGACAACTGAAGAAATGTTAACACCAGCTGGTGTATACGCGGGTTGCTTTCACAGTATGCGGAAATAAGATATTTTTGGGATCTAAGAATCAAGTTACAGTTACTTAAAGCATCAGATCAAGTCTCACCAATATTTCTAGTAATGTAGAATAGGTATTTTTGTCAAAATGTGTAATTTTCTTTTACATACAATGCATATGTCAGAACTGTAATAAAGTCTTAAGATTGGTTTTCATTACGAAACTCCCCCCCCCCTTTGGTGGCTCAACGGTACGTCTAAAGGCTTCTAACGCTAAAAATCAGGTTTCGATACTCACAGTGGGCAGATCACAGATAGCCCATTTTGTTGTTTAGCGCTTAATAACAAACAAATAAACAATTAAGAAACTAAGTTATATTTAACCTTGTTTAAGTTATAAAATTGAAATAGCGAGCAATAAAATATGGTTTTATTGTAGCTAAAGATAGTTTATCTGCCAAACAGCTAAAACACTCCACTCGAAGCTACATAATTTGAAACAGGAAGATAATAAAATTAGTTGTTTTCAAGGCACTATTTTTTACAATAAATGTCCAAAGCTAACAGAGCGTCGGTATTGTAAAGTATGGAGATACATTAATAAAGTCGATATACATTAATAGAAGTCGGTATTGTAAAGTATGGAGATACATTAATAGAAGTCGGTATTGTAAAGTATGGAGATACATTGATAAAGTCGATATACATTAATAGAAGT